CGTGTCCCGAGAGTGCCGAGTCGATGTCGCGCAATTTCCACTACCGCGACGTCGCAAACCTGTCCCGTGTCTGTCGCGTCCTATCCGTCTTCTCGACGAGCGTCGTGAAACGAGAATCGCGCAACGTCGACGTAAGATTCGATCCGAGACGATTCGGTTCCGTATCTATTTCCGCGCAAAGATCTCTCGCCGCGAGCTTTCCAGCGTGCTGAACGTCGTTCGAGGAGACGCGAAGAGGCTTGAGCGGAGTAAAGACTGCGACTCGACTCTTTTGTACTCGTGTGTCTTTTATTTTGAAAATTATATCGTGTCGTCGCTCTTGTCCGTCGTTGTATCCTGTCGTTCGAAGGAATCGTACGATTCTTCTCGTCCGACTCGCGTGTCTCGTTTCCGCGTGGAGAGATCGTTTTTCCCGGTGAGATCTCTTCGCCGACGTTCGAACGATGATTCGTCGAACGCGAGTAAGTTTCGAAAGGCGCCTCTGCTCGAGACGCGTCGCGCGAGTAACGCGGCGAGTATATTCCGCGAAGCGTGAAATTTTCGTTTGGTCCGGTTGGAACGTACGTGCGAGATGCGTCTCTCCGTGTAGCGCCGCGATCTGCGAATCGTCCGTTGCCGTTGTTCTTCGAACTTATCTCGAAGTGAAACGACGAAGGCTGTGCGCGTGACGCGCGAGGCTACGCATCGGCGCGAAACAACGACTTCGTCGACTCGATGACGTCTCGAACGTGAAATATCGCGAGATCGCATCGTCGCGCCGACGTGTAAAAATTGCTGTACGTACGCGCGTATCTGTCTCTGCGTCCGTGACTCGATCGAGATATGTCGCTGCGCTCGCAAAGAAAACCACGTTCTCGCGAAAGTATCGCGTATCCTGAGACGAAACGGTTCGTAGACGACGATAACGTTCGTCGATTTCTACGACGTTGAGAACGATTTTTTTTTCTTCGTTTTTTGTTTTTCGTTTCTTTTCTTTTCTTCTCTCTCTTTTTCTCGCCTTGCCAACGCGGAGAACTTTTACCTTTACTCGTACGATGTCGTGGACGTTGTACCGAGTGCTTCTCGAATCACTTTTTCACGATGGTGTTTGGTTTGAAATTTTTATTTCGTTCGACTTTTCATCCTGTACGATGCGAGTCTGATCCGCGTATGTGCGACGCGCGTGTTGTTGGAAAATTGACAGACCGTGTTTGTCTTTGTTGTAAAAACTCCTACGAGTCGACTCCTATCGTGTAAAAAAGATATCGATTGTGACGATTGACGATAAATTATATCGCGCGACCGCGTGACTTGTGTTCTCTGAAAACGCGAACGAAACGTTGTCGCAAAGTTCGAATCGAAAGAAATTTAAATCTAACTTTTCTTCGCCGTTGTTGTTGCAGCGTCGACTTCGCGTTCTTGCTAAAAGTCCGTTCTTCGAAACCTTTCTACGTGTGTGTGTGTGTGTGTGTGTGTGTGTGTGTGTGT